GACCCTGCGCTGTGCCCCGCAGACCACCGGCAGTCCTCCCACCACATCCACCACCCCCTCTCCACGCACCTGCCCCCCGACGCCCGGCGCAAGAAGGGGGCCCCCAAGAAGGGCAAGAAGAAGCCCCGCCGCCCCTCGGCCCCCGGGGAGACCCCCACCATCGAGGAGGCCGAAGAGGATGAGGAGGAGGCGGGCGACACCGAGACCGAGCGCTCGGCCGAGGAGCTGCTGCAGCCCCCGCCCCCCGAGGCCGTGCAGGTGAGGGGGGGGCTGCGCCGGACCCCCCCCCCGGCTCTGGGGGGGCTTCCTCACGCGCCCCCGGGTCAGTTCTTCCTGCAGGAGGATGAGGTGCCCGAGCGCCGGGGGGAGGAGCCGGGGACCCCCCCGGCACAGCCCGGACCCCCCCCAGAGCCCCGGGGGTCTGCGTCCCCCAGGGGAGCCCAGGCGGGCAGGTGAGCGGGGCTGGGGGTCCCGGGGGGCAGGCAGCCCCCTCCGGCTGCCCCACGGTGGGCTTGAGGGGAGGGGGGGCGGACAGACGCCTCTGTTGGCCCTGTAACAGAGCTGGGGGGCTGGGCAGACCCCTCCGGCTGCCCCACGGCAGGACTGGGAGGGGGGAGACCCCTCCAGCCACCCCATAACAGGGCTGGGGGGCAGCCATCCCATTCCCCCATGGGAGCCCTTCCAACTGCCCCACAGCAGGACCGGGAGGGTGGGCAGACCCCTCCAGTCACCCCATAACAGGGCTGGGGGGCTGCCCCACGGTGGGGCTGGGGGGTGGGGACCCCTTTGAGCACCCCACGGCGGGGCTGGGGGTCTCAGATGTGGGGCGGTTGCCTCCCCCGCAGCCCCGAGGAGGAGCAGGGGGGTCCGTCGGCGGAGGGGGGCTCCCCCGGTCGCCCCGTGGGCAAGTGCCCGCCGGGGGGGCACCGGAGCTACAACCTGCAGGAGCGGCGGCGCATCGGGAGCATGACGGGCGCCGAGCAGGAGCGGTACCAGAAGGTGCCCACGGACGAGTCGGAGGCGCAGACACTGGCCTCGGCCGACCTGGACTACATGAAAAGTGAGGGGGGGCACCCCGACACCGGGGGGGGACACCCTGTGCCCGGGAGGGGGACACTCCGCCACCGGGGGGGCCGTCGGCGCAGCCGGAGCCGTGCCCCGGGGCCAGCGTGGCCGGGGTTGGGGGGCGCCGCGGTGGGG